AGCTTCAATGAATTGTGGATTTCTTTCAATGACAAAATGGTTTCACGAAGCTTGGAAAGAGATATCATAAAAAAACGACGGAGAACCGGCTACATATTCTTCTATGTTGATGAGTACGAATCATTTTTTCCTTCATCGTTTTCCTGAGCGAAAATAATTTTTTTATTCTGATGTGCTTGAAACAAAAGTTGCTTAATTCCGTAAATTCCCTTCGGTCCATGGGTAAAAGCCATTTTGAGGTGTTACACCATGGCTTTCTTTCATTTATAAATTTTAATACTGAACAGAAATGCGGTACAAAGACGATTTATCTAAATAACACAAAATATGGCCTGTCAAATGATTCTTGTTATGTAGCACAGTAAATTTAATTTATATTTGTATTTTATTTACTTTACAGAGTCATCTGAATCATTATCAGATGTATTACTTTAACTTAATTTAAATTAGGTTTTGTTTATACCATTAATGTTCTGTATTATGTGACAAAAGGCTGATCCGTTAGCCGCAGGTACAGCGAGGTTAAAAAATATATTCCTGAGTACCACTGTATTATACAGTGTAATATGTTATGCATTAGGATATATTTTGTTAGATATCCCTTTAGGTCCTACTTCCGCTGCCTCGAAGGGGTAGAATGGTGAAACAGATTCTCAGTACGTTGTACAGCTGAACCTTTAGGCTCTGAGAGATTCAACCGTGCTGTGAAAGCTAGAAATGTACCTGTCTAGATGGAAGGCGTAACTCACGCTCATCAGATCTGTCTGACTCTCGTCGTGACTTATGGCCACATCATTCAGGATGAATTTTCAACTAAGACCACTCATTCTCCGGAGTCCCGATTGCCACTGGCGCATGTAGCAGCTGATTAAACATGAATGCGAAAAGTGTTTAGAAGAATATCGGAGTTATGATTAAAGCAGCTGTAGTTTACTAACACTTGCAACCTCTAACTACTGGTCATTTCTAGGCGAAACAACTTTGATAACTAGAATAAGAATTTACTTAAATTAAGTGCCATTTTCTACGACTGAACGAGATTAGATGAAGGCAGGAGGGGGCTGTTAAACCGTAACGATGAACACCTGTTGCGCAGAGGATCAGAAAATAAAACAGCAGGAGGAGTAAAGTTCCACAGATGAACAAAAACAGGTAGAAATGGACGGCATTTCGCATGGACGTGTAGTAGGAATGGACGAAATTTCACAGAGCTGGTTATACGGGTTTTAAAGAGATACCAATTCCAGATGTTCCAGGTATAAACGTCTACATCAAGCGTCGTGATGAAGAGGTTGAAGATTTCTATAAAGAAATAGAAGTGTTGCCTGAACATGGAAAGAACCATGACGCGTTCATCACTGGTGACTTCGATGCAAAAGTCGAACCGTAGCAAAGAAATGATTCCCGGTGGATCGGTTTGGATGCAGCGAAAACAACTGCAAGGGTGGCTGACTTGCGGAAATTTCGGAATAAAGAAACTATTTGTTATGAACTCTTCGTTATCTGAAACCTGTGAAAGATGAACGTAGAAAAGCCGAAATGACGTCAGGAATTAAACTAATTCCATCGTCAATTGTATGAAGACTGCAGTTCGGAATTTTGCTGTTCTGAGTAGATTTAATGCGGGGAGTGATTACAAGCTGGCCAGATGCAAAGTGCTTGAACTCAGCTTTAGTAAGAGGGAAATTGCTGTGGACAAGACTCAAGTATAGTCGATAGTCGAAGTGAAATTGCTCAAGAACGTCCCATTATTTAAACTCAAAATTCCAGATTCCGTTCTTCACGACTGAAGAACTAGCAGGAGAAGACGCATGAACATTAGCATGAAAATGTATTGCGATGTAATGATTGCAGATACAAAAACGGTGCGAGGCATCTCCGAAATAATCACTATAAACATCTGCCCAAGCATCAGGGAACAAACCAAATTGTTCATGAAAATACGAAGATGGCAACAGTCTAGGAACTGAAGTTCGAAGGCAGGGAAAGTTGCAAAAAACTGGTGAAAGGTAACGTCCGAGCAGTTCAGCTACAGATTGGTAAAGAAACTTGTTGAAGACAATTGAATCATAAAGAAACTGAATCAGATACTGGATATCAGGAAACAATAAATTTTTGCTCTGAAAGAAAAAAAATGCTGCTTTCATCCAAGTCAAACAAGAGATTTTGTAAAGAATTGAAGATTTCTATTGAAAAACTGTATAACGATGAACCCAGCAACGTGTACGCTATTTATCCTAATACCCTGTTGTGTCATTAACAAAATTTACCAAAACTTCTTGATGTCTCCTGATAGAGGCCTAAACACCCAACTGGGCCGCGGCCTTATCAGCCGCAAATGAAGCAGCTCTTTATAACTAGCGTCAAGTGCGGCGCGTACATCAGTTGAAATTACAATATGGTCCTCGTGCAACTTCGCCTAAAATTAGCCATGTTGTATCGACGTCGTCTGGTTTAATGCCATCAGCGTATCGGTGTTGATAGGCTAAAATACTGTGGAATCGCAAGGTCTCATTATCAGAGGTAGGTAGGTACAGAATTATTTCAGAATTATTAATTTCACTAATAAGTGTATGTTAATATCCATTCGTGTGGTAGAAACGTCGACAAAGACAACCATTTTAGAGAAGATGTCATTCTCTCGACGAAAATGTAGTTGAAGTCAGCAGGAGGGTGGATTAACTGTGACGGCAGATGATGAAAATAATCTGAAAATACAAATGAAGTTGACAAAATACCAGATATTTGGTAAAAAGAAATGCGACATGCAATAAAACAGACGGAGCGAGGAAGGACTTCCAGCGAAGGCGGCATTATAGGGGAACTCGCGGAATCAGCAGCTGAAGCATTGAGCAAAATATTATCGAGCTTCTCACGGTGTCTCAAGGAACTAAAAACTCTAGATGACTGGACTATCACTGCAGTGATACTGCTTCACAAAAAAGGAGACAGTGGGAATTCGAAGAACTGCTATTCGATATCAGTTTGTTGTCACTCCTGGACACGATTATCAGTAAGTTGCTGATAAACAGACTTCTGGAAGAATTTTACGCTGCATAGTGCAAAGCATCGAGCAGGATTCAGAAGTGGATTGGGTACAGTAGACCACTTCCAGGTTGTACAGAAAAGACCAGCAGCGAATATCAGGTTTTTCTCTGTTTGGGCTTCGTCAGTTTCGTATAGATTTCCAACTCAGTTTGCACCAGGTCTGCCCCGGATTCAGTCAGTAGCCATAGAATCGACAAGCGATACGAAGACTTCATCGCCATCATTTACAAAAATGCAGAGACTACCGTGAAGGTTCACGAATGCGTATTTCACAATCGATTAGGACGTCAGAATTGACCCAATAACATGAAGTTGTTTACAGCAATCCAACGGCAGGTTTTAAAGTCACTGTTAAAAAAATCTATTTCTGAAGATGAGAGGGCACTGCCTAAGCCACCTGTGGTTTGCGGACTATATTCTGGCCTTCTCGAGATCACCACATGAGCGCCAAAGAAGAAGCCAAGCGCTGAATCAATTAAATATCAAAGCATGGCGGGAAAGAAACCTCGGGTAATGTTTGACAGTTAGGAGACCCTGCGATCTATTGAAGTGAATCGGCTTGAATTCTTTATAATGTCATTTATC